AGAGACAAAAACATTAAAATCCATTATAAACGAGGCATTTGTTGCGTCCAGTGGGAACATAATTACGGATTATATGACTTATACTGTCTTTTAATGCGTATTGTAACACTCCAAAGAGAAAGGAAAAATTGAAATCGCATCATATGACCCTGTTTTTCCATCAAAAAGCTGTCCCATTACTTAATGTATGCCTTTAAAAAAAACTTGCCCCTTTAAGACTTGCACTCAATTTATTTACGAACTGCTTGTTTTCTTTAAAAAAAAAAAAACTAACTCTAGTTTCTCTAATCTTTTTGTATTCTATCTGTTTCCTTTTTATTTATTATACAATTAACAAAAGCAAAAAACGCCTCTAACACTAGCTTGATCTATTCTTTTTCTATTGTACGTGTTTTCTTTTTATTTATTATGATTGATTTTTTTTACTTCATGTACTGCGTTAAGCTAACTGAGACTTGTTATAGCACTTGCGTATCATTGCTCTTTTGTTGATTTTGATTGCTTCCATTGTCCTCATTTGTAAGTCGCTTTGGATAAAAGCGTCTGCTAAATGACTAAATGTAAATATGCCACTGTTCCTAATTAGTTATTTTGTTTTCTTAGGGTCGTATCATTGAGTGCACTCACTGTGGATGCAGAGGATGTTCTGGATGAGTCAAGAGGGCAACAACTTTTTGAACTTACTGAACTTTGATTTCACAACGAAACACAGTGTCACACACGGTGGCCTAGAGTGAGCCGAGGCGGCGGCGGGCTTGAGAACGGCGCTGCGATGTTCTGGATGAGTCAAGAGGGCAACAACTTTTTGAACTTACTGAACTTTGATTTGTATTTTTAATACATTTATTGGGTTGTCATTACGATGTTGAAATTATATGATTGTATGTGTATGCTTTGATTTATTTATTTATTTCATTTTGTATTAAACTGTGATGTGTCTTAATTATTCTGGGTTACACTGTCCAATCTCGTGCTTTGAGTGTGTGCTTCCATGAAGTATGTTGTATAAGCATGCTCTGGTAAAAGGAAGAAGGTAGAATATCTCATCCCATACAAATCAGAATTTTTGTGTATGTAAAAAAAAAATGTTGTATGAATGTTTCAATTATTTTATGTGCGTTGTTAACTGCCTACCCACTGCAGAGTGGCAACAAAAATATCCTTAATATCAATGTAAAATATCAGTTTTCAGATCAGTCCCTAGCAGGTTTAAGAATAATCTTTTAATGAAGTTGATGTTAGAAAAACGAAGTGGGTGTTATCAACTTTATCTCGGAAGGAATGAGGGTACGTCTCCATATCCTGACGCCTCTTTTGGAAGACCAAACAAAGTAGTTTCGCTTTCACAACGAAGCACACAGCGTCTTCATGACATGGTGGCGGTGGCAACAACAATACTACAGCGAGAATAAAAGTTACGCCTTCTTTCTTTGCGTGAACATTTGGGCGGCGTTATGCAAATCTTCCCACACAGTGACTTAGGTATGTTGGGGCGTGTTAGAATGAGCCGTTTTAGGTAGACGTGGCTGACTCTTAACTTTTATAAAGAATATCTCTTTGGATTTGAGACTTTAGTCTTTGCAACTTTACAGATCTTCTTTATGCACCAAGAGCTTGTAACACTTCAAAGACAAAAGAACAATTGAAATCGCATCATATGACCCTGTTTTTCCATCAAAAAGCTGTCCCATTACTTAATGTATGCCTTTAAAAAAACTTGCCCCTTTAAGACTTGCACTCAATTTATTTACGAACTGCTTGTTTTCTTTAAAAAAAAAAAAACTAACTCTAGTTTCTCTAATCTTTTTGTATTCTATCTGTTTCCTTTTTATTTATTATTCAATTAACAAAAGCAAAAAACGCCTCTAACACTAGCTTGCTCTATTCTTTTTCTATTGTACGTGTTTTCTTTTTATTTATTATGATTGATTTTTTTTACTTCGTGTACTGCGTTAAGCTAACTGAGACTTGTTATAGCACTTGCGTATCATTGCTCTTTTGTTGATTTTGATTGCTTCCATTGTCCTCATTTGTAAGTCGCTTTGGATAAAAGTGTCTGCTAAATGACTAAATGTAAATATGCCACTGTTCCTAATTAGTTATTTTGTTGTCTTAGGGTCGTATCATTGAGTGCACTCACTGTGGATGCAGAGGATGTTCTGGATGAGTCAAGAGGGCAACAACTTTTTGAACTTACTGAACTTTGATTTGTATTTTTAATACATTTATTGGGTTGTCATTACGATGTTGAAATTATATGATTGTATGTGTATGCTTTGATTTATTTATTTATTTCATTTTGTATTAAACTGTGATGTCTTAATTATTCTGGGTTACACTGTCCAATCTCGTGCTTTGAGTGTGTGCTTCCATGAAGTATGTTGTATAAGCATGCTCTGGTAAAAGGAAGAAGGTAGAATATCTCATCCCATACAAATCAGAATTTTTGTGTATGTAAAAAAAATGTTGTATGAATGTTTCAATTATTTTATGTGCGTTGTTAACTGCCTACCCACTGCAGAGTGGCAACAAAAATATCCTTAATATCAATGTAAACCAAACAGACACAAAACGCACCATGGTGTTATGTTCGTTTGCTTTTGGCATATATTAGTATAATTTTCAGTACTACGGCAGTATTATTTGATAACTATTGAGTGCCATGGTGTATACAGATAAAAGAACTATACTTTTTTTGCAAGAACACTTCCGAGGCAAAATATTTATTGTATTTATGGTTACTATTTAGTTACTAAAATGATTTGGTCACATCCTGGAGACTTACAGCACAATGACAATATTGTTAACCTACCAAATTAAACATTTTGTTGCTATAAACGAGTCATTACTCTTGAATGGAAGCTGTCCGGCAAGTAGTTCACTACAGACTAGTTTTGTGTCATTAACTGACCAGCACGCTTCACTTAATGAATATCTCACAAAACACTACAGAGGAATTTGCATGTCCTGAACATTATATTCAGTCACGAATGTAATCGTGCGGCTAATGCTTCTGAAAGTCCTTGACATGACTGGCGTCTGCCCGCATCGGGGCCTTGAGCGGCGCTGCGCACAAACCACACAACAGACATTCACTCCATGCATGCCTTCAAACACAGAGATACATAACAGAGTGCGATTCACGTAAAGCTTTCCTATCCAACAGTCAAATATACTCAACTATGCATGTCCCATTCAACCATACCTGGTTTGTCCGCCATCTTGCTCTGAACTTCAAGATGATGGCTGCCGCGGTGGCCGCTGGGAGTGAAATAGAGTGACGTCAACGCGCAAGGTATGGGGGCGGGGCTTATAAATCACGTGACCACCGGATACTGCTGCTATTTGGCTTTGATATCGATGTAAAGAAACAGAAAAACATGTTTAATTTGTTTTATCTGTTTAATCACCTATTACTTTTAGCAAAGTTCCAGACAGGGCTACACAAGAGCAAATACGCTAAAAATACTACAACGTTTTCGTGCAATTGGTAATGAAACTGTTAAGTATAAAAACGATCTCTGCATCTAAAACACAACCAGAAAGTTTGTTTTTAAAAATTTGTTTATTTTATGTATATTTTTAATTTCTCAATCTTTTTAACTGTTTAACAGCTGGTACCACTGGAGGGAGACATTTACTGCATACACACAGATTTGCTGGTAAAACAGGCTTGAGGTAAATGCATCACAAGACTTCATCTTTCTGGTGGTAAAGCATGTTCTTTGTGGTAAGTAATCAAAATAAAGACTTTTTTAATAATGTGAACATTTGCATTTGTCTTTACATGATGCAGATCATTATGTTGTTTGTTGTTTTGTTTGCTAGAGAGAAATGTTATGGATTTGTATGTGGTTTGCGGTAAAACATCACCTTCTCTGAGCAGCAGACCAACATCCTTCTTTTAGTCATTGAATTGATTGATGCAAAATTAGGTAAATGTTTTTGGGATGTCTATAGACCAGTGCCTTTAGATAAAATTCATTTAGCAGCTTTGCAAAGTGTGAGGATTCAGCTGCTGTCAGGATCATTCTTCCGAAGTTTTCAAAGTCATACAGTACAGATGACAAAAACAGCATCAGTTTTTACAGGCTCTTTGCTTAATTGAAGGCCCAGAGTAAACCTTAAACCAAGTCTTTTCTACTGCCATTTGCATTTAGGAGCACATAGATCTTTACAGATGGCTGAAATCCAAAAGCTGTATTGGCAACTGAAAGCCTTTGAGTGGATAGGTAGATCTTAGATAATGTATTTACAGTGTATAGACTATAAACTGTATATATTCTATACAATAAACAATATTCCATACAACATACAGTGGTGGCCAAAATTATCATCAGCAAAAAATGGTTTTAAAGGGGTCATATGATGCTTTTTTAAAGATCATTATTTTGTGTATTTGGTGTAACAGAATATGTTGACATGCTTTAATGTTCAAAAAACACATTATTTTTCAAATACTGTACATTATTGTAGGTCCTCTATGCCCCGCCTCTCTCAAGTGCTTTGTTTTCTACAAAGTCCCTTTGCGTGCACATTTGGGCCGCATTATGCTAATATTTCCACATAGTGAGGTAGATATGTGGGGCCGTGTTAGAACGAGGCATTTTAGGGGGGCGTGGCAGAGTCTTATCTTTGATAAAGAATATCTCTTTGGTTTTGAGACTTTAGTCTTTGCAACTTCAGGGATCTTGTCTTATATTTTTGTTTGCACAAGGAGTCTGACAACAGCCAGTGCTCCACTCAGAGATCTGATCTGATCATCATGCAGTCTGTCTGGAACACATGAAGAAACAGAACGACCTGAGACAAATCCAGAAGAACTGTGGCAACATCTCCAAGATGCTTCAAGAAACCTACCTTACGTTACCTTACCTTACCAAATGTTGATTTAATTTAGTTAATAGAAGTTAATTGATAAAGAATATCTATCTATGACATTATTTTTGATAGCATCCTCATTTTTACACAAGTGCCTAAAACTTTTAACAGTACTGTAGCTTTGCAGGTAGGATTCTTGAAGCATCAGCAAACTGACTTAAAACCATTTTTTAGCTGATGAAAATACTAGTGGTCTAATTTGATTTAATTTAGTTAATAGAAGTTAATTGATAAAGAATATCTATCTATGACATTATTTTTGATAGCATCCTCATTTTTACACAAGTGCCTAAAACTTTTAACAGTACTGTAGCTTTGCAGGTAGGATTCTTGAAGCATCAGCAAACTGACTTAAAACCATTTTTTAGCTGATGAAAATACTAGTGGTCTAATAATTTTGGCCACCACTGTAAATGTAAATGTAGTCTGCGTAACCAAAATGATTAGATGTGCATTTATTAGGGAGAATCATTATAGGCTACAACAAATAAATGGTAGGTATTTTTTACAATCAAAATGCTGGTGCAAATCACACTATTCTGTAACATTAAATAAACGAGAAAGAGAAGAGGCTGGCATGGTGATCTCATTAGAATGTGTGAGAGACACACAGCTGCCTGATTCACTGTGGTAGATGCATTAGACAGGAGGTCAACGGCATAAGTGCCATTCATTACTCCGCTCTGCCCTAAAAATCCCAGGCAGAATTCTAATTTTGAGATTTTAATTAAGATGGTGCAGCAGGCACATCAAAGGAGACATCAGTTCATAGTCTTTCAGGAGTTATACGGTCCAGCATGCAGTTACGTTATAT